AGCATTAGAAGAAGGTGTGCAGTGATTATTGAATGAAAATGAGCGAATGAAAGGAGAATGTTGGTCTCTGGAGAGCCTGTGCTGTGCCTGCTGGTGCATCTCCATAGGATAAATTTAACGTGGGTCTTCTCTGCATGCAGGAAGTGCTGGGCAGAAGAACTGAGGGTGGAGGGCGTAGGCAGTGAGATGCCACAGCAATTGCGGGCTCACAGGGACTCAGGGCTTCCCACGGGGGTGGCTGCTGCTCCAGGGTGCGGGGTGCCCTCAGTTCCATCCTTGTTTGGACTCCTCAGAGCCAAAACCTTCGGCCCCGCCCATCAAACACCGGCCTGCTGGGCCTGAGAAGCCTGCTCTGCCTTCCTCTCAGTCCGCCCCTGCCCTGGCAGCCCTCTCCTCCGGCCGTGCCAGAGAAGCCCGCCCCTTGCCGAAAGACCAGGAGAGCAGCACCAAGGTATGGGGAAAGCGAGAGGGGGAGGAAGCCGGGTCTGAGCGGACCCCTGGCTGAGCAAATGCAAGCTTGGTTTTGAATATACCAGTGAGTCCTGCTTGCAGAAGGCCAAAAAGAGCATCGAGGCGGCCGGCCCCAGCACTTAGGGCTAGAGCCTGCGGCCGGCCTGGGGGAGAAAGCTGAAGGAAAGGAGAGAAACGAGAGAGAAGGGGAGAAGGGGTGAGGGGGACCAGGGGAAGGGAGGAGGAGGAGGGGAGCTGAGGGCAGCCGCAGGCAGGGAGGGCAGGAGGGAACGCGGGGCTCAGAAGGAAGCAGGAGGTGGAGAGCACAGAGGGGCTTAGGTGAACCAAGCCCAGTAACTTGAGCCAACGCCCGAGACAGCAGCTGACTGAGGCAGATCAGCCAGCGGCTGTGCTTGACAGGCTGACAAATAGCTTGCCCTTCCCAGGTGACCTTGGCCCAGACCATTCTCTTCCCTGGTCTGAATGAGTTTAGTAGAGGCGGGAGAGTCACTGTTATGGGGACGCGTGCTCCTTCTTTGAAACAGATATAAAAGTGCCATAAATGTATCTAGAAGGCCTGCTACGTGCGTGCACTGTGTTAGGACCGGGATCCAGTGATGACGATGGTAAGGTCCAGGCCCCCAGTCCTCCCACTCCGGCAAGGGCGAAGGACCATGAACAAAGGAAGAATGACTCAGCGCTGGGACAGGTCCCATCCTCCACCTCTCCTTGGCCACTCCCTCCCATGCTCGTCCCCTGGACCTGGGCGCTGCAAATAACTGCACCCCCTCCGGCACCTCAAGTCAAGCCTCCCATTCGCTCTCCACCATCGCCTGTTGTTCTAGCTCAATCCATCTAATATTCCAACTCTCACATTTTGTTCCTTCTCTTGCATAAACAGTTTTCTCCTGGAAACTGGATCATTCCTATCAGCATCTTAGCTCTCTGTTATTTCTTTCATCTTAACAAAACAAAACAAAGTCAGAACCGTTCTCTCCCGAGTCCACGGGAGCCAGACTTGAGTCCCTACCGCCTCACCGAAACTGCCCACATTGAGGCCACTGATGACTACCACCTTCCCACGTGGGGCACAGCACAGCCCTCTTTTAACGACCCATTGGCAGCTTTTGTAGCTCATCCCACTCGAATTCCCCACTGAGGGATGGAGGCGAGGGAATGGCTCCTGCCCTGGTTCTCTGCCTACATCAAAGGCCGCTCCTTCCTAGTCCATCTTTGCTGGTCCCTCTTTACAACCCTGACCTCTGCGTGCTGGAGGCCCCAGAGCTCAGACCTCTAGCCTTTTATCCATTTACACTGACCCCTGAAACCTGACCCGATCTGTGGCATTAAGCACCATCTGTAGGCCAAGGACTTCCAAATGTCCCTTCCAGCCTAAACCTTCCTCTGACATCAAGTAACAGTGAAATTATATAGAACCCTAAATTATTACATATGGTTCTATATATATAAGTTATATATTAGATATAACCCTAATCATAGATATATAGATATAGATATAGATATAGATATAGATATAGATATAGATATAGATATAGATATAGATAGATATAGATATAGATACTCACCATCCCTGTTTAGGTATCTAATTATGTTTCAAACTTACCTTGCCCAAAACTCAACNTCACGATCCCTGTTTAGGTATCTAATTATGTTTCAAACTTACCTTGCCCAAAACTCAACTGTTGAAACCTTTCCCTCCAAAACCTCTCTTTCCCAGTGTCCCCTCTCAGTGGGTGGCAGTGAAAGGCAACTCCAGCCATCCAGCTGCTCGGGCCAAAAATCCTGGGCCCATCCTCCCTCCTCTCTCTCTCATCACGCACCTCACACATCAGCAAGAGCAGGGGGCTCTGCTTTGAAACCACCCAGAACCGGCCAGTCTGCCATCCCCATTCCTGCCACCCTCATGCAAACCTGTCGTCCCATCACATGGGAACTCTTGATTCTATCTTTACAACTTCTTGTGAGTCTTAAGTTATTTCAAAATATGTTATAAAAAGGACACTTAGACCCTCCTCCCCCAGTGGAAGTCAGATCACGTCATCCTCTGCTCAGACCTCCAGTGGCTCTCTGTGTCCTGCAGAGGAAAAGCCTACGACCTCGCCATGGACCCCAGGGCCACATCCTCGCTCCTGCGCACCCGCCACATCCAGCCCCTACCCCATCACTCTCTGACGTGGGTGCTCCAGCCAGTGTCCTCCTCACTGCTCCCAGCATGCCCAGCACACTCCAGCCTCAGGGCCTCCGCATTCCCTGTTCCCTCTGCTTAGGATACTTCTTGAATTTTGCAATGCCTGCTCCCTCAGTTCATTTACGCCTCTGCCTACACTTCACCCCTCAGTTAGTCACCCTGGCCCTCCTACCTAAGATGGAAGCCCCGTCACCCCTGTCCCTTGTTTTCCTGCTGGCATGCATGGCCTGATGTTAGAGACCGGTCTGTCTGTTCTTTGTCCCCTGGGCTCCCCACTCCATGGCAGCTTACTGGGAGCAAGGACTTTGTCATTTTGTGTATTCCCAGAACAGTGACTGACGCATGATTGAATGAATGTAGGTATAGAAAGCACAGCTGGGTCCCCAAGGGTCATGGAGTTTGCCTTGACCTTGTGCCAGATCCAGGTCACCATCTCCAAGTCCGCCCAGGAGAAGATGCGGCTGAGGCATAAGGAGATGGAGTCGTTCCAGGGGCCAAAGGAGCCGGAGCCGGAGAGGGAGAGGGAGCTCATGTCCCAGAGCCTGGGCACCCGGAGAACCCTGATGAAGGAAGGTACTGGGTACTCAAGACACGATTCCCTCAGGCTGGGAGACTTCTTGGCCAACACCTTGGCCAAAAGAGAGGCTGCCAGGGCTCCCCACCCTCCTCCTCCTGAGACTGGGCAGGGAGCCACACCTGCTCTCTCTCAGCCCTCTCTTGGGCCCATTTCCAAAGGAGAACACTGGGGCCAGGGGACAGGCAGAACCAGCTCCATCCTAGGACTTTGTCTGCCTCCACAGGTCTCCTTCCCCTCCGGGGCAGGGGGGCCCTGTCTGTGCCCACGGGGACAAGCAGCCCACGCAGAAGCAATGTCGGTATCATCCTGAGGAAGCGAGCCAACCGGGCCTCCCTGCCCAGCCTCCCCGTGAGCAAGCAGGAGCCCAGCTTTGCGCGCCACGCTTCAGGTGGGCCCCAGAGCGGCTGGCCAGGGAGGAGGGGCGCATGTCCCTCTCCCTGGGCTGCCTCTGGATGCTGTGGGCGTGGCAAAGGGGAATTTGGCTGCTCTGCTCTGCCCATGTTGGAACAGAGACTGGTCCCCTCACCAGAGAGAGGAACAGAGTCTGGGAGTCAAAAGCATCTATGGGCCAGTCTGGGGACCCAGGGTATCACCCCTGGGATTGTGATGGCTGCACAAGTGTGCCCTACCTGCGTGACATAGCCTAGACCACAGATGCTGGGAAACAGCATCCATGGAAGTAGCTGGAAACACTGGGAAGAAGAAGAGAGGGTTCTGGGAAGGCCTTGGGTTCCTGCATGTTGCCTCATGAGGTGCCAGGGCTGGACAGTGCTGGGTGCAGATGGGTCTGGGGGCTCAAAGTTCTATGGGATGTTCAGGAAGGGCCAAGGGCCAAGGGAGGCTCTGCCTCACCGTTTTGTACACTGGGTGTTCACATGAGATTTCACTTAAAAAGATTTTGCTACTAAGGAACATTTGCAAACCACCAACCTGGTTCAGAGTTTCTGTAATTGTGGGATGTGGTGGGACATTGACGGGGGAGCAGAGCATCGTTTCTGTGCTGGAGATCAGATTGACTCACTTTCTTTTCCACTCTCTTTCTAACCATTTGATCCTCCAAGTAGAAAGTCTTCATCTGGCTCTAGTCTTTAGCGTGTCTTTAAGACCTGCAAATATCCTTTTAAAACAGAGACATCCTTCAGGCTTGAGGCATCGGAAGCTGGCTGCAATCTTACAGCTAGAGTTTATAAAGTTCTCTTAGTTTTACTGTGAACGTTACCATATTTTATGACAAATAACATTACTTTACCAATTATGGTAGTGACATAAATTTTCCTTTAAAATAAACATGTAGGATTTGGAAAATGGTTTAATTTGAAGAAAAATACCATGTAAATAAAAGTACAGGTAATTAAGAGATATGGCCAAAAAAATCCCATGAAAGTGGTAACTGAATAGTTGATAATTGAGCAACATTGATCTAGTTAACCCACCCTACTCATTTTATACAGCAGAACCAAGACTCAAAGACTCAAGGTCACCCAAGATCACCAAGGTGATGATGGCCCATAGGGACTAAGACTTTGGCTAATGACTTTTGGCCAATGCAGAGCTGAGGCGAGGAATGAGGTCTCTGGGCTTGGCTTTAGGTGAAGGACTGCCCCCCAGCTCAGATTGCCCAGGACCTCCTGGGGACGCCAGGGTGAAAATCACAACAGAGGCGATGCAGTGAGGCGTGGCAGTGAGAGCTCTGGGTCCCGGGACCTTCCCGTCCTGGCTCTGCTGGTACAGAAGCTGAGGGACTGTTGGTGGGAAAGGGGGTGGCTGGGAACATTGGGGAGAGCTAGCTTCTCGGGGCTCTGATGCCTCAACTATGTGATCCGCACATTGATGAGATATGGCCTCTAGACTGCCTTCCTGTTGTAGGGTTTTATGATTCTAGCGTCTGTCCCAAAAGAAGGAGAGCCTAGAAAACATGATCTGAGTTTCACACAACATCCTGCTTATTGTCAGTCCCTGCATGCGTGGCCACATCTCGACCACGCAGGTGCCCGGCTGCTTTCAGTGTCCCTGCTTCCTCGGGCCGCCTGCCTCAGATCACGCCCCTGCCCTTGGGCAGCTTCACAGAAGGATGGAGAAGGGCGGGCGGGCAGTGGAGAGGCTGATAACACAGGTGCCCGGGTGGGTACAGGTTAGAGCGCCACAGCGAGTAGAGGACTTGTTCATTCCTTGACAGACTTACTGGCCCCACCCCAGCCACAGATAGGGCTGAATTGGGGTGCATCACGGGTGGGGTGGGTTTAATCACATGGCCTCAAGCAGCACATCACAGGCCAGTTTGTTCATAACAATCAAGTTGGCAAAGGCAGGAATGGAAAAAGTCAACAAAAGGTAGAGTTTGGAAGCCTGCGGGGCTCCCCAGGTGGCGGAGCCCAGCACTGGCCTCTTGGCCCTCTCTAGTCCCTTCTCCCTGATGCCCCCAGAAGGTGGCTCAGTGCTGCCGGCCAAGCCTCCGGTTCTCCTGGTGAAAGCTCCCGTGTTCCTTTTCCTTCCTGTGAGTGCAGCTAACTCATTACCTGCGGTGCTAACTTTGGGGTCCCCTGAGTGGGAAGAGGAGGAGGAGGAGATGGATCTTCAAGCCTTTAAGGAATTGAGGCCTTTCTCAAACCCGGAGCTGGGGTTGATGGATGCCCTCCGGTGCCTCGACAGCAGTGACTGGTGAGGCGACACCTTCCCCTTCGTGTGTGGGCCAGGGGAGGGCTGCAGAATAGCTCCTGCCTCCTGGTGGCCCTCCTCTCCCACTGCTAGGACCTAGTCCTGTGGAAGGAGGGGTGTGTGTGTGTGTGTGTGTGTGTGTGTGTGTGAGTGAGTCCAGACTCCTGTGTCTGCCCTGTGACCTCCAACAGTCCAGCATATTGCTCTATAGCGCACCAGAGCCAGGCATGGCAGGTGTAGACGTGGCTCCAAAACACTTTTTCAGGGGGCCTTAGAAAGGTCACAGCCCTTCCTTTCTCTAAATCAAGTTCAACCTGCTCCCATGTTCCTACCACTGTGCTGGTGGACACACAATCTTAGCAGTGAGCAGCGCCATGACTTGGGGTGCAGAACATTTCCGGGAAACCCTCCTGTCTGCAGTCCTCATGTTCAAGTACCTTCTCTTATGTCAGGTGTGGTCCCAGGTCCTGGGGGTGGGCTTCCCTTGCATGAGGCTGAGCCAGGGTCCCCATAAAATGGCTTTTACTGGACTGCTAAGACTTCAGGCTGGATGTCCCGGCAGGAAGCCTGCCTTCGGAGCTGTAGAATCCGCCCTGTGTGGTGAGAAGAGGGTGGTGGTCTGCAGAGGGAGCAGGCTCCTCCCTCCCTGCCTGTGACAGGGCTGGACTTGCTTCTCAGGAACATGAAGGAGAAGGGCCTGGTGAGCGTCCGGCGCCTGGCAGCCTGTCACTCCGAGGTCCTCGCTGGGAGGGTGCACGACGTGTCCTTGGCTGTGACTGGGGAGGTGAGGCCTCCCAGACGACCTGCGTACTGTGCACTCTGCCCACCCCCAGCTAGTCCCTCTCCCCTGGGGCTGCTCTTCAAAGTGGGTCACATAACAGCCACAGAGGAGCCGTGGGTCCTTGAGACAGGGGCATACCCCACTTATTTCTCAGCCCTCAGCCGCTGAGGGGTGAGGTAGCTACCCATTTCTCGGATTAGAAAACTGAGGCCCAGGGTTTCCTTATTTCTATGTCACAGCCCTGCATTGTCCTCTGTACTCAAAATGCCAGAGGAGGGATGGGGTGGCCTGGGCCAGGTCTCCAACTTCAGGGCAGTTGTAGCATTTCCTAAGCCCTTTGTCCCATGGGCTGGGGCTAGGCTTGACTGGCCCAGATGGGCAATAAGATGCATCTCGTCACAGATGGAGGCCATGCCCCCCCCCCCAGCCCCCTGGGAATAGATGGCTCCAGTGGGATCCTTGTGAAGATAAATTGAATATTATTTGTAAAAGTACTTGGAAGACTGTTGTACAAATATCAAATGATAATGATGGAATTAGTAATTATGATGATAACAACAGTAATACTATTTTTAAAAACAGGACTATTTTGCCCAGAGCTACTGCAGGGCTTTTGTTTCCAGCCAGAGGAGTCCTAGGCCTGGGGCGAGGATGGAGGCAGTGGGTGGGGGGGTGGTGGTGCAGTGCCCCATTCTTGGTATGCTCTGGAACCCTTGACAGCGTCCAGCAGTATGGTCCTTCTCCCATGCCTTCCCAAGGTCACCAACCTCCGCTCCAAGGTGTCCCGCCTGGCCATCAGCACCCTGGGAGACCTCTTCCGGGCCTTGAAGAGGAATATGGACCAGGACGCTGCGGAGATCGCCCGCTGCCTGCTGCAGAAGATGGGCAACACCAGCGAGTTCATCCAGAGGGCGGCCAACCGGTCCCTGCGGGCCATGGTGGAGCACGTGACCCCTGCCCGATCCCTGGTGGCCCTCACCTCAGCGGGCATCTAGTATGTGGCCGCTCACTGGCTGCAGGGTGGGGGTGGTCC